CCGCTCCTTTACTCCCTTCCAGGCTGCTGGTGGGGACTATACCTGCCTTCACAGCGGGATTTAGACAATGTATTCACTCCTACAAAAGATCTCAAAAATTGCACGTAATAAAGCACTGAGTTTGAACCACCACGACAAGTCTCATGGGGTTAATTTGAAATAAATCAACCAAATTTTCATCATTTTAGATTTAGAGTTGGATTTTATAAATAAAAATAATATAGTAATATACATAATTGTCAATTAGTCATTTTTAGCAGAAGAAATATGGAAGGGATAAATAGGGATATTCTACAGAATGTATATAAAGGAGATTAATATATAGTAATATCTATAAAGTAGATTAATATGGTTTCTGTTATTATGTATTACTTTACACAATACACTTTTATACAACTATTTAAGAGTATTTTAAACTGTAGTAAAAATAAATGCTGATGTAAAGCTAAGATAGAAATAGCTAGGACTTCAACTCCGCAAATTCCAACAGATTCTTCCCACAACACTAAGCTTATCTACAGCTTAACTATTTTATGGTGCAACATTTTTAACTTCACATTAAATAAAGCACCATGATTGTAACTTAGAAAGAAAAACAGAAGTAAGAATGCTCCTGAAGTACTGTATGAGTGAGTTAAGAGTATTGTAAGAACTCTGGCTTCTGGAATTTCCTGAGTTTTGAGTGCCTAACTTTTTGACTTGGTACTGCACCAAAACTGAAAAATTATTTTTGAAGAAAGGAGGGAAGAAAAAAAACTTATTTTGTTTGAGATTTTTCAACATACTTTTGACTTCCTTAGCACATCTTACAAATTGCCTAAGCACAACCTTACACCTCTTTGTCTAACATCAGCTAAACAGAGAGATAAACTTAATAAGGACGCCTCTGTAAGGAATAATCTGTCATATGCCTTATTGTAGAGTACAGTGCGCTCCAGTTAGCTAGATCCACTACTTTTTACCTACTTTCTCTCTACTGCTATCTCTAATCCTTATGAATTAAGGCACGCCAATCTGCTCTCTAAACCTTAGTAGCTCCTTGCTCTCATAAAATTAAGAATTGAAAAATGTGATATACAAAAGTGGACATATGGTTGTGTGAGTCTGGACAAGGTATTTATACTTGCTGTACTTCCCATTCACTCTTGCTCCTCTTTGTCTGCTTAGACATAAGCTTTTCACAGCAAGGTCTCTGTTTTCTGATTAATGCTAACATCAAGGCCAGCTCAAAGTTGGCCCATAGACCATAGGTGTCATAATCTCCTGAAACTCAAGCCCTACCAGCTGTCTATCCGATCCTAGCAGCTGTGCTGACTTTAGAAATACCAAGAGGAAACACATGCAAGCTTCAAGTAGTGCTGCCTCCTCTGCTTAAAAGAATGTCCAGTGCAGACTGTTACAGTGCAAGATGGGGCAAAAAAAATGCTTATGGCCAGCATTGGTCAGGACACACTTTTTGGTCTTGTTAATGACACTATCAGTGTGGACATAAGCTTATGTGCTTGTCATGCCCCTTACAGAAAGTAGCCCCAGCCTCTATAGCTCAAAAATGTAAACCAAGAAACAGGGTCACACTCACAAAAGCAGCTTTTTTTTTTGTATGGATTAATTGAAAACACAAAAACTGCTTGCTCTCCTTCTTTAAATGGGTTTTTAACATTATTAAATGGCTTCTGTTGAGCTTGATGCATATGCAGCACAGACAACCATAGAAAACTATCATTGTAACTGTTGTCTCCAGATAGATGCAAGACAAGCTGTTGAACATCTCCTAAACTGAAATACCACAGGCTTCTCTCCTTGAACAGCATCAGACTCCTTACACCAGTAGGATCCTCAAATGTGCTTTGTTTTACTGACACAGGAGACATAAAACAGTCTAGAATTGGAATAGATGTTTATTGTGCAGGTCCCACATACAAAGATATGATATGAAATATATCTGATGCTTGATTATGAGTGCAAATAGTAAATGAAAACCAGAAGATTGCTTGTATTCCAATCTAAACAGTGTCCAGAGGTACCAGAGCAAAGAAAATAAGCCAGGCTGAAAATAAACTTTAAAAGTACTACACAAAAGCTATCCTGCACAGAGCGCCATATACAGCATATGGGCTTCTAAATCTCATCCTATTTTCAGGAATTTAATCATGGATAAGCCTTTTGCTGCCACCTGTACAGAAATCGATGTCACACAGAGCACTTCAGGACAGTGAAAATATGTGGGCTATCAAACAATTGAACTAACAGGCACGAATAAAACTAGGGATCCAAACTTTTCCACAGTAGAAGTTTTATCCGTGTTCATTCCTGCAAATGACATGTTTATCTGCTGTTCAGTGACATTCATTTTAACGTGAAATATTATTTCAACTTTGCCCTCTTATTTATTCAGTGTAGAAATTACACACACGCATGAATGATAGGTACCACAGAACCACCCCGTAGTAGACCAAAGCAGTTCTTTCAAGAGCTCTTGAGAGACCGCTAGTCCGATGAGGATGCTCACATCCATCTTATGCTGAGATCACAAACGTTTTGTGAAAACTAGTGTTTTCCTGCACATCTCAAGGCATGCCAAAGCGTAGCCCTGGAGGACCACTGACATCTGGTGGTCATTTCAGTCCTTCCCAACAGTACCTGCAGCTGCAGGCAGGCAAAGGAGTGATAGCTGAAGTGATCCTTGAGGCTTGGGGGGGGGAAGTAAAACTGCTTCATCAATAATTAGCCTCTATCACAGGACACAGGGCTGCTAGTGTGAAATTCACTGGCATGCCTCTGGGAATACAGGCGTTCTTATCTAGAACTAACATATTAAAAAAAAGAGGAAGGAAAAAGTAAAATATAAATTCTGAAGAAAGCTGTCACATATATTGAATTTTACTATGACTTGATTAGATTATATTTTACAGATTGCCTATCAGAAATACATGCCAGGAAGCATTAAGTTACAGACCTTACTCTGAGTTTATTAACTTAGTGGAATTTGTTGATTACAAGTAAATGCAGATGAACTACAATATACAAACAACAAACTCAGTTAAAGCTGCCAACACATTAATAGTATTGTTGGATTCAACTTACTCTAGATATAATAAAACTTTTTTAAATAGAACACATTTAATACAACAAGTTCTTGAGAACAACTGTGTCATGAAATAGAATTATATAAAACTGTCTTTTTGACAAATAAAAAAGCATTGTTTCCTAGGTAAGATGTATCTTATTACTGAAAAGGAGCAATGTGATTTAGGTCTTCTTTTGCTACACAACTAGCACAATATTAAATTGTAAACAGGAGTATTCAACAATTTTATCCATTTTGATATCTGCTACACAGTGAGACTGCCCAGACACAAACTGCCTCAGCTGTGTCCAGCAAACTTGAGAGAGGATCTTCTTGGTGCTCAAAAGCAGTTGTGTAAGAGAGACCACAGCCACCAGCAGCACTGGATCTAAAATGTCCTTAGGCCTGTTAGCACTGGTTGTTCATAGGCAAACATTTAAAGCTATGTTTTGCTTGTTGTAGTTATCTACAGGTTGTAAACAAAACTCTGAGGCTTTCAGACATTCATCAAGAAAAGGAAAATCTTAATAAACTGTCATGAGAATTTTCAGCCCTTCCCAATTGCTTTCTCGCTGCAAAATGACTCAAAGTCTACCTTCAGGTAAATGTGCTCTTCACATTGAAACAGGAGCTCAGTTTAAACCTAATAAAACTCTCAGCATTTACTGAGTAGTGGGAAGTAATCAAAGTGTTTTTCTATACCTTTCCTACAAGCTACAAGAGTGCAGCTTTGCAAAAACTCTGTAGTACAAATCACCTGTCTCCAAACTGACATATATTTTTCACTTACCAGAAATATGACACCTCTCCATAAGTAAACAGATTGCTAAATTACTGTTTCACCTTCAATCTAGGCCACCTAACCAGACTGAAAGATAGTGAACTATTTTAAATTACTTTTACCAGACACATTTTTGTGCATACATTTTCTAGTTGGCTCTGACACATGGTGGGCAAACATTTCAGAGAGGCACATGCAATTGTTAACATAGCCAAATAGTGTGCAAAAAATAGCCAGCGCTCAGAGTGGAAACAAAGAAAGGGTACATGGGACACTAAGATGAAGACAACTGTATCAAGCCACCCCAAAAGCAAAAGATAGATGGAGCTGGTAGTAATGAAAGCAGGAAATGTGCACCAAGACAGTTTGGTTTGACTCAGCCAGGGTTGGGGCTGAGCTGGGTACCTGGCTGGGCCAAAGGCCAGCCAGAAGGCTTTCAAAAGCCAAGTGTCAGGTTTTCCACTCCCATTTGTATTTCAGCTGAAGTCTAGCATCTGTTGACCGCTGATGCCTCTGGAAAATTTCACTCATGTGGCCCACAAATCACTGATGTTCATATGTGTTTCAGGTCACTTCCTGTACTACTGCGTGAACATACAGTGACAAAAGTGGCTCCACAAGACTACTCTTTAACACATTCCTGAAGGTCCAACTGCAAATCAGTATACATTAATCAGTACAGAAATACTCACTCCTCTATACAACAGGCACAGAACCTATGTTCCACTTAAATTCTACTCTGAGCATTTAAAATAAGTGCTATTTTCAGTATTTCAATAATGCTGGTTTCTGCACAGTATTGCATTTCACTCACAGAGAAAAGCTGTCACATTGCTGCATATCCATTAAATAAAAGCATTATAATTAGGTCAGCTACTAGGTAAAGGAGACAATAACCACTTTAACAAAGCACTGTCACAGCCCTTATAGGTGCTCATCTGAAACAAAAGTCTCTTCTTTGTTGTCCCCCCAACATGTACTTTCCACAAGTATCTTGGCATTGTCAATCCAATTATACAACAGCAGGAGACAATTACTGTGTGACAATGTTCTAATTCACAGACAGAACCTTTCTTCTACGTTTATACTTTATTTGGGGTATTTTCCTGAGGGGCAGAGATGTGCTCTACTCACCACCAGGCACAGACGGGTCTAAAAATAATTTTGCCTGGTTCTAATCGATAACATCATGTTCGCAAACCTCTTCCGAAGACACATGAAAGCAAGATAACCCATTCCCACCAGCATGCTGACCAGCAGGGTGGTGCCAAGAACCCTGGGTGCCCTTTTCTTGGCCACACGGAATGCCGTTGGCAGCACGGCCGAGATTAATATATTGTTGACGTGTCCTAAAACTTTATAAAATGTTTTTCTCTTCAGGACACGCTCATAATAGGCTTCCAAGTTGGGCCGCTTTCCATTTCCCCAGTTTCTTCTTGCTAATCCCAGAAACTTCAGGCGATGTAACGTGACAGCAAGTGATACATCTGCCAGACTGAAGAAATCACCACAGAGCCAAGGCTGATTTTCGTCTTCTAAGCAGAGATAAAACATAAAGAATTAGGAGCTAACAGAATACAAGCACATGTAGAAGCCTCCATGGGATAACATTTAGTTTATGGCTATTTAAAAATGCTGTCTAATAAACACCACCAACACTTCAGCCAAGATATGATTTTAATCAACAACATTTTACTAATCCTTTTCCATTCTTCACACAATATTGTAAGGTCTTAAGCTCAGAAGTCTGACCTACATTTGTTAAGCGAAAAAGAGCCACATTTCAGTTTCATAAATTAAAGCCCACAGTAAACACATATTTTCCTCAACTACATTTCTCAAATTGGGGTTAAATTAAACATGAGTGGGAAGGAGGAAGACAGTTTAGCTTTTACGGAAAGAGCTACCACTTGCCTGAAGAATTTATCATCTTGTCTGTGTGACTCAGCTCTATGGCATTCACTCAAGAACAGCTAATTTGCTGGAGACTCCCAAGTTAAAAAGTAATGGATCAGATGACTGACCTGCACCAAACATATCAGCTCAGCGAGAAGACAGTTTGTCTACCCATTCTTCCTTTGTGCCTCCTAGAACCCAAACCAAAAGGTTTTTACACTGAGAAGTTTGAGAAGTGATGGATATTCACACTGCCCACCATTAGTCAAGAGCACAGGTAGAGATCCCAGGCTTCCTCTCCGGTCAAAGGAGAGAGGTGAATCTTCCTGGGGATGGCTCAGTGCAGGCACTGCCAGGCAGCATCACACCTCTAACTTCAGTGATCTGAAGCACCACCACCTGAAAGGGCTTACCTGTACTGACTACACCGAGTGCTTCTGAAACCCAGGATATGAAATTTCATAGTTAGCATAGCTGCCAGCACGAGTACTCTGCTCTAGCCTAGATCTCAAACAGGGCTATGCCGTTCCCTCCTCATTCACAACCTTTTGCAGTTAATCCCTGGAGAGCTGCCCGGCAGAAAAGGACCTG